ATTAGAATAACAATTTAAAATTTTTTTCCCTCTATGTAAGGATTTTCTACGATGTATTCCGGGAAGCATCTTTTCATCAGATCTCTATGATCATTGGGTCTGTGTAATGGACGAAGAAAATGATGAGGAAAAAATAAATGCAGTTCAAAGGTAGTTATTCCAATTTGGTCATTTCTCAAAAATACTTTTTAAAAAACTTATATTTTACAAGCTTGTCTGTTAATGTAATAATAACTATCAAAGTCATATCCATAGGGGCTAGTTTAAAAATAGATTTATGCTAGCAACTGTCATTGTTATTACTGGGTTTTTTCCTAATCTTATTAATATGGAATACTCGACCATTGTACACCTTCTGTATATTCTAATCTGATAGGCACTGAAACCCATTAGACTAATAGCAAATACTGTAGACCCAATCTACAATTTATGACCTTAATTTTGGTAAGTATTTAATTAACCAGACGATTCCTTAACACTTCATTTAGCAGCCAAATTCATACAGAGAAAATTCCTTCCTCTCAAGGAGCTCACAGTCTAGTAGAAATAGACAGATAAAACCCAGAATTCCAGTGCGGTACAGTCAGTGCCATGACAGGGGTATGTGGAGAAGGGGATGTGAGGACACTCCAGAGAGACAGTCAACTCATTGAAAAGTGTCAAGGGAAAAGGGAGTTGCAGAGCCTTAGCCTGATCACAGAGAATGCATTGTCTGTCCTCATGGAAAGGGAAGTTGCCGGCAGAACCCAGCACCCCCATTCCTGAGTATTTCCCGCATCATAAGAGAATAGGAAAAAAGTGTCCATTAACAAAAAGCAATACTTGCATTTCTGTGAAACCCAAGAATCCCAGTATCATTTATTTGCAAACGCTTGTTCAGTGCAGTGTTATCTTGAGCAACTTTCAAATGTAAATCATTATCTACACGCAGCTACTGATGGTGTAAGTGTTGAAGGCACCAGACTCAGAGCCATGCACAAAATGCTGTCTCTGCTTTCGTGACAGCTTGGTGGGAACCGTTCAGGTACAGGGAACTTGAGATTCTGTATGTTGTTGCTCATTGTCTAAAATTTTATATCGTAGAAGCTG